AGAAAGAAAGAAAGAAAGAAAGAAAGAAAGAAAGAAAGAAAGAAAGAAAGAAAGAAAGAAAGAAAGAGTGTGTGAAAGACAGAGAGTGGGGGAGAAAGGGGATGAGATGGAGATGGAGAGAGCGCCGCTGCTGCTGCGCAGGAAGGTATATACTTCCCTGCACCCAAACATCCAGACGCACTCACTCACTCCTGTCACCACCACCACACCCGTTCCCATTAGCAACTCTCAGAACAGACCAACCTCCCTCTCCATGAATGACGTAACATGACATAGCATGATGGTATGAGCGCAGTGTGAGCACGGGCGCGAATCTAAATGAGCAGCGGCGGCAGGTGGTGGTAGCAGTAACTGTGACTGTAAACGAATGATGAAAGACAAAGGAGTGAGTGACTGATTGACTGATTGGGCGCGTAGATAGGGGAGAAGAGGAGAGGGAGAGGGAGAAGGAGGAAAGGAAAGAGAAAGAGAAAGCGTGTACCTACCCAAGAGCGCCCACACCACCATCACCGCCTCATCCTCCTGGGTACATCATAGGCACCTACTCGACCCATCAACACGAACCTCCATATCACTAGGGCCACCACCACCATCATCACGACCATCAATATCGATCCCCCCAACCCCACAGGCCACCATTGCGCACTAGTACGTACAACATACGCACCTACCTCTTCTCCTCCCCCTCCCCCTCCGCCCATCACATCACTAGGGCAAGTCACCGGTATCGCTCCCCGCCCCCACCACCCCGCGCCTACACAAGGCTACGCGCGCACATGCACGCCGCTATACCCGCCTTCCAATATAGCCGCACGCCCTCCGCACGCCCTCCGCACGCCCTCCGCACGCTCTCCGCGCACAAGCGCTCCGATCCGATCCCGCACGCGCCCTTAGGCCATAGCGAAATGACGAGCGACCATCTCCGCCGCTCCTCCGCCGCTCCTCCGCCGCTTCTCCGCTGCCCCGAATATTCTTTTGAGGAGCGGGGACGCGCCGCAGTCGGATGTCTTAGCGCTGCTTGAGCTGTAGTCCGTATGCATGTGCCGACGGAGGTTCACGGCTGATGAAAGACATCCACATGTCTGTGTTAGTGCTCTGTTCGAATAAAACAGTTACAAGTCAAATCGCATGTAATTGGTTGTGGTGAATGAAGTAAAGACCCGAGTCGGCGGTTGACGTCGTCGCGTCGGCGGCGCGTTCGGCAAAAATCGCAGACGCAGAACCGCAAGCCGACTCCAACCTCGGCGTCGCCGCAATGTTAACGGAACCGCTACTGAGCGAGCTGTGCGCGATCTGGTGAGCAGCAGTGGAAGAAGAAGCAACGACGAAAAGAAGTCGCCTTTTACCACGCAGCAACAAAGCCGCTAACATTTCCCCCCCACCGCAGCAACGGCAACGCGCCCAAGTACCGCTGCCCCAAGGACTCGGTGCGCACCTGCTCGCTGGCCTGCTACAAGCGGCACCAGCAATGGGCCCAGTGCGACGGGAAGCGCAACCCGGGCGCGTACGTGAAGAAGGCCCAGCTCGCCACCCCCGCCGGCATCGACCATGACTACAATTTCCTGACGGGCATCGAGCGTGCCTTCCAGCGCGCCGACGACGACGCTGAGCGCCGCGGCCTGGACGCCAAGCGTAGGGTTTTCGGCGAGGCTAGATTGCAGGCTTACTTGCAGGCCAACCGAATTATTGTCGATCGCGCGCCTGTGGGCATGAGTCGCCAGAGGGCTAACAAGACGCGCATCTCCAAGTCAGAGCCGCCGCTTCCGCCTCGGGCTGCGTGCTAATGCTGACGCGCTTCGTAGGTCGGGTCGCATTATCTGGACCGTCGAGTGGCAGCACGCGGACGACACGCGCGAGCTGTATGAAGCTGCGGCCGACGCGCCGCTGTCGGACTTGTATGCTACCTTCCTGCAGGAAAAGCGCCACAACGAGGCTAAAAAGAGGAGACGCGAGGAGGAGGAGGAGCACCCTCGGAAGGACGGAGCGGTAGAGCAGACACCTAAGAAGAGGAAGGGCGAGGAGGGAGAGCATCCGCGGAGAGACGGCACGCCAGAGCAGCCACAGACCCAGACGGACAGCTCGGTCGAAGGGACAAGGGCAAGCCCCTCTCAACAACAACCACACTCCCCGTCCGTCTCATTCTACCTCATCAAGCCACACACGCCCTCCTCACAGCCCCGGGTGCTCGTTCCCTTGGACTCTAACCACAACCTCTCCGCCGCCCTCTCCGACCAAGTCATCCTCGAATACCCCACAATCAAAACCCTGCCATCACCGCCTTCCGCTCCCCTCCCGAAAGGCTTCATCCTCGAGGAAGACTACCTCAGCCAATCCAAGAAGGACGCCGAAGAGCTCGACGCCCTGATAGGCTCCGCTTCCGTCACGGCGTCCGCGGCGGATATTGGCCGGAGCAAGGACGGGGCCGATCAGCCTGCTCGTGCTGAGGCTGCCGCGCTCGATGACCGCAAGCTGCTGGAGGTGTTGACGCAGGATATCAAAGCCCGTAAGTGAGGTGCTGTATGTGAGTAGAGCAGACAAGAGGCCGGTGCTTTAAGCAATGAAATATTCCCAGCGAGCGAGCGATCAGGCCCTCTGAAGCCCCTTTAGGATGAGTCTTCGAGTCATTGGAGAGCTAAGAAGGGAGGACCCTCCACTTGGCGCATCCAAATGGGTTGGGATGGGAAGTCTAAGAGAAGCCAAAAAGATGACAATTGACGGGGAACGAGATCGAGACACCAAGCTCAAGACGCAGCAAAACACGAATGACAGAAAAAATAAAGCCAACTCACATCGCAAGACCACGAACTCGACCAAAAAGAGAAAAGTGAAACCCACAACCTACCCAGCTAGGCGCTGAACGCACCAGCGTAAAACAGACCCGCCGTGGCGTGGGCAGGTAAGAAAACGCCAATACCGCAAACACCGCAAACCCTTTTCTCAACTCCACGCACGCACGCACGCGAGAGCACCAAACAATCTAACCAACACGACTCAGCCGCCGCCCAGGCACAGACACAGGCACAGACATGCAGCAACAGAAGCCCGCGCTCCAGTGCCTCCCCCACCCCGTACCGACACCTACCCACCCACCTACACATACACACAAAGATACTACGTACGAACACAACACACGTAAGCGAGCAAGGCTGCCTACCGAGCTCGGCAGAGCAACTAAGCTACGGTAGGGAGAGGAGGAGGGCAAGGGACGGGGCACGCCCGCCTCACTCTGCCTATGTATGTAGTAGCTACGGCACGGCACCGGCACCACTAGCTTCGCGTCGTGCACTCCACAACGCACGCACGCGGCGGAAATAGTTATTACGTCGTTAAGCCACGCGAGCGCGGGCGTGGGCGTGGGCGTCTGTGCTGCCTGCCCCCTGGCACAGGCGGGGTCCGGAGCTTTTTTTTTTTTTGCGTGCGTGCGTGCGTAATACGGATATTGTAGCTAGCTAGCTATGTACCTAGTGGCAGTCATGCCATGCCGGGAGTTGGACTGTTGGAGGAGCGGGCGGCGGGCGGAGCCTGGAGTACGCCCGTCAAGCAAGTAAGGTCGGGTCGGAGCGGGACGGGGGTCCAGGCGTTTTTATGCGTGTTTATGTATGCCCTGCTTTGTGCCTTTGGTTACGGCTCCGTATAATACTTGCTTTGTGGTGGAGGGGCGTGCGTGCGTGCTTGCTTGGGGCGGATGGGGAGTGGGACTTCCCGGCCTGGGACGGACGGACTGGATGGATGGCTGCGGGGCGGGGCGGCGTGTGGCGTGTGGGCGTGGCGGGCGGCGGCTAAATTGAGGAGCGTGTGTGCACCGTGTGTGGAGGAGGCCCGGATATGGGATGGAGGGATGGATGGGGGCTTGGTGCGGAGGGGACCGCGCGGGACGAGGCGTGCGTGGTATGGTATGCCATGGTAGGGCGCCGGTGGATGGGTGCGTGGGAGGCGTAGAGGCGTGGAGGCGTAGAGGCGTAGAGGGTGCGGTGCGCGGGGTTGGAATCGGAATTGGAACGGGCATGGGCATGGGGCGGCGGGAGGGTGAGGATGGAGAGTTGATTGATTGAGTTGAGTTGAGTTGTATTCATTTACCCTGACCCATCGCCCTGAGCGGTATGCAGGCTGAGTTGATTGATTGATTGATTGATTGATTCAGATCAGAGACGGAGATGAGGTTGAGCAGTTGTTAACTAGGTACAATAGTGTGTCGCGGGCAGATAGATAGGTTAGGTTGTATGGTATGTAGTGTAGTAGCATCTGGTTACTTCCGAGCGAGAAGTGAGACAAGGGCAATATCCGTCTGTATCTGATCTGTATGTGCAGAAAGACGAGAGGAAGATTTGCTCGCTCGCAGAGCCGCGCCGAGACAGGGCGGACGCGGCTGTGGCGGTGCAGGACCAAACGGGCAGTCGGAGCCGCTCCGGTTTCAAGCAGCATTGCAAGCACGTCGCGAGCGGCCCAAGACAGCAATTGCTGCCGCAGGCGGGCGGGCGTATGCGTGCGTGCGTGAAGCTGCGGCTGCGGGGTAGGGTACGGAGCGGTACAATACGGGTCACCCCATCGTTGTGTCAGGGCGTGCGTGGGCGCTCGGCAAAATGGAGCGGTACATCGTGGGGACCTACCATGGATACCAAGAGCCGTGGATGGTTGATTGATTGATTGATTGTCAGATGCTACACAGGGAGTGGAGTGGCAGGCCAGGCGGCGGGCGGGATGGGCTGCTGCATGGCACTCACCCGGCCGGGCCGATCCATCAGGCAAGGGCGTCGATTGATTGATTTCCTGGTCGCCTTGCAGTCGGAGGCATCATCGACGGCAGGGGTGGGCAGAGTTAGCGGGCATGCAAGCAAGATGGAGTGTCGTGGCTGGGCGGGAGATAGCAGACTTGCAGAGTGTCTGTCGTTCCATGGTGTGACCTGGCCTTTTTCCCCGCACACTCTCAGCGAAATGAAGTGACTGTGGAGGAGCGAGGGGCCCTCACGTCACGGTGGTGTGACATTGCTGTGTGTGGTTGGGGACGAGGGACAAGGCTCCTGAGCAGAGCCTCGGATGGCCCCTAAACCCGACGTGGGCGCCGCTAGAACTGTGGGGGACGGAGCCATGCCAGCCCCCGAATCTCCGAGCGCCGCGCCCCGGGAGAGGCGCGCAGTCAGCTGTGTATCAGCTTCTGCAACCACAAAAAGCCAAGAAGTCATGATGAGTTACGTAGCTAGGGCTAGGTTTCTTTCTTTTCCCCAGACGGATCGGCCCCGATCGGCTGAAATCTCGATGCCGGGTTCGGAACAGAGAAGAAGAAAAAAAGAAAAAGAAAAAAAAAGTCTGCAGCAGGTTCGTTACTGGGTACTACTCCACGTCGCAAGAAATAATAATACTATGATGAGGCTGCATCCCTCTCGGCCGGGAAGGAGAGACAAGCGGCGTGGAGCGAAAGCCGCCTTCGGACCTTTGGGCGGCGCGAAGACCGGCCCCAGCAGAAAAAAAACTCGACCTCTCGGGTTTCACTCGGCAGGCCGCTGCGTCTTAATAGCTCGAGTTTTGTCGCTAGCCTGCGCGAGTCGATGATGCGATTGCCCACCCGCTTGCGTCCTGTACCTTGCATGGAAGCCGAAGAAGCGACGCACGCGGGTTTAGCCATATCCGTGGCCGCTTCCGGCTGGCCCTGCGACCGACATCTCCCGACCCTCGTACCGTGTGTTTGTCTTGTGTGCCATGCGCGCCCCCCCAGCAAATCTCGGTGATAGGCAAACGCTACCGGCTACGAGCGGGGACTCCACTAGCGCCCCAATCCATGTGGAGATGGAGAACACCTTGCGCCCGATGCTTCGACGACACATACCAGACACACATGAACTCTCGACCTCGCCATGACTGTGTCTCCTATTCTCGTCGTCGCCTGCGCGCCCCCCACACGCCCACGCCGCACGATCGCTGCTGGCAACCTGGCTTCCCCGAGACAGGGGGGGGGTGCGTGTGAGTGTGAGCGCTCGTAGGCGGCGCCTGCATTGCGCGAGCGATACGCAGGGACAGTCGATCAGGATCCCAGAGATTGCTTTTTCGGGCTTACTGGGGACGCGGCAGAGAGAGAGTGTGTGTGTGCCGTCAGCCTAGGTATTATTTGCGGCCTGCCTGTACCGCTGTTGCATCGGCTTCTCACCGACTGTTGCCAGCTCATCGGCAGGGAGAGGGGAGGAGAGATAATGAACATTGAGCTGCAGTGCGCCTCTGCGTGCAGCGATCGCAATTCTCTCCGCTGCCCAAAAGCTTACCCCAGGATCGCTCCGGGGCACTCCAGATTTCGTTCCCCTTGTGCGCTCGCTCAGCACCCCACCCCACACATTCCATTCCGTAAGCCCACGTCTCTGCTCCTGCGGTGCGACGGGCTAGGGCGGCGATTGGTCTTCATGTGAGAATTCGTCACGGAGGAGGAGGATGATGAGGATGATGGTTAGCGCGGAGAGAGAGAGACCTGCGGGGAAACCTAAAGACCTGAGGGAGAGAATGGAAAGAGAGAGGTGTGATGACACAGGTGTATATATCAATCATATCAACCCCGGATCTGCCTCCTTCTTTCATTCATTCATTCATTCATCATCACAATGTAGCAGTTCGGGCGCGACCGAAAAGACAGACAAGATTTGTCATCCCCCGGCGTCAGCTCGACTGTTACGTTGGGCGAAACAGCCTTCTCCACAAATTTCACAAGACCCACGCATTCAAAAAGATTCCGCCGAGGATACGGACGCAGGCCGCCTTCCCGTTTGGATGCGAGACGCCTATTTGGTCGGCGCGCCCGGCTGCCAACAACGCCCCGTCGCACCCCCCCCCTCATTGCTCGCCCTTCTGCGCCACGTCTCTCTTCCCTCGCTACAGCAGCACCGAAATAAAGCCTTTGGTGTCGGCCCCAGCCCCAGGCCAGAGTGTCCCCACAGCCTCATCGTCTCACGCCCCGACCCTGCCCACCCCCCTTCGCGCCCCAGCCCACGCAGAAAATTCCTCCCGGCATCTCCTTCGGGCTTGGCGCCGCACCTGCTTTCCGGCTGATCCTCGTCGACATCGGCTCCTCGTTCCCCACGTTTCCTGCGTCACCCGCGGCTCACCCGAGCGCGCTCTTATAAGATTTTCGCCCGCCCCCTCCCTTCTCCGGTTTTCGCTCGCCTTACCTTCCACATCCCACAACAGACTACATGCAACAGTCAAGTTCCCCAGTGGATTTTTCAAATCTGCTGAACCCCGACACCTCAACCTCCCCGACCGATCACCCCTCGACCCCTATGGCCGCCGCCGCCGTCAGTCCCGTTGGTCTCATGGGCTCAATGCTGCAAAACGCACAGCCTCACCAGGAGGAGCACAGGCAGGACCTGCCCCGCCCCTACAAGTGCCCTCTCTGCGACAAGGCCTTCCACCGTCTCGAGCATCAGACCAGGCACATCCGCACTCACACGGGCGAGAAGCCGCACGCCTGCCAATTCCCCGGCTGCACCAAGCGCTTCTCCCGCTCCGACGAGCTCACCCGCCACTCGAGGATACACAACAACCCCAACTCCAGGCGGGGCAACAAGCAGCATGCCGCCGCCGTCGCCGCTGCCCAGGCCGTTGCCAGCGCCGGCATGCTCGACAGCTCTCAGATCGCCCACATGATGCCGCCTCCCTCGAAACCCATCTCCCGCTCCGCTCCTGGCTCCAACCTTGGCTCGCCCAACGTCTCGCCTCCCCACTCGTACGCCAGCTACTCGAACCTGCCGGGCTTGGCTGCCTACAACCGCACCAACCCCACCACGTCGATGGGCATACTCGCCACTGCCGCCTCTCAAGTCGAGCAGCAGCAACAGCAGCAGCAGCAGCCCCGCTTCCCCCCGACGCATGGTCACCCCCTTAGCTCGCACCACTTTTTCAACAACCACAACGCCAGCCGTCTTCCGGGCGTCACCGGCCTCGCGGCCTACGCCTATTCGTCGCAACCCATGTCGCGGTCGCATTCTCACGAGGACGATGACCCCTACGCCCACCGCATGACCAAAAAGTCAAGGCCCGGCTCCCCCCTGTCGACCGCCCCGCCGTCTCCCACCTTCTCGCATGACTCCTACTCCCCCACGCCTGACCACACCCCGCTCGCCACCCCCGCGCACTCGCCTAGGCTACGCCCGCACGGCCTCCACGACGTCCAGCTCCCCCACATCCGCCACCTGTCGCTGCAGCACGTGCCCGCCCTCGCACCCATGGAGCCCTCTGCCAACGGCGAGACTCCCTACGTTCCCACCCAGACGACGGGCCTGCGGATAGGCGACATCATCTCGAGACAGGACGGCGCGCAAAGAAAACTGCCCGTGCCTCCGGCACCGAAGGTGGCCGTCCAAGACCTGCTGAACTCTGGCAGTGGCTTCTCTTCGGGCACCACGTCAGCCTCTGGCTCCGTCGCTGGTAACGACCTCAGCGAGCGCTATTAAAAATTAAAAAGGCCCCCCTTAAAGATCATTGCATGACAGTAGGAGTTTCGGTTTTGCACGACCTTTTCGGCTGCGCTTCAGCGGATTTCAAGCGTTCTGGGTTTTTATAGACGGATACGGGAAAGAAGATGCAACGGATGCTTCGGCCTCCCCACCCCTGCATCATGCTATGGGCGAACAAGTGGTCACATTCTCCTCTTCACTCTAATGCTTGGGATCCGACCGGGCTTTTTTTCATCTTTTTCGTTTTGTTATTAACTTTTGCCGACACTACATCTTTTTTTCCTTTTTTTGCTTTTAACGTTATAGACTGGACCGGTGTCTTCGGGTTTCAACCTAGGCTCAACATACCCCTTGCGGCCACGGATGACCGCATGATGTATACTCATTGACTTTTTTTTTTTTCTTTTTCTTTTGCTTCTCTCCTCGCTCGTCACTCTCCGTATGCGACTTTTCTCTCTCATCTCTTTTTTTGCTGGGTTTTAGGGTGGAGGCGGTGGTAGTGGTAGTAGTGGTCTCACGTTCCTCTAACAACGGCACCTCGGTTGCGTGCGTGTGTGCGTGCATGTGAGCGAGGAGACGAAGGGACGTGGATGGATGTGGGGTTTATTACGTAGGGTACGGGTACGGGTATGGGTATGCAACAACGCACAGATAGACGGCCGACGAGACTCTTGTCGCTACAGCGATGGTGGAGGGCCATAAAACAGCGCTTCGATTTTTACTTTATGTTCTGCTTCGTGGCACTATTGAAAATATGGGTGCGGTGTGTTGTGTTGAATACGTCTTTGTGGTTGTTGTTTTTGCCTTGCTTGCTGGGTGTGGCTGGGCTGCGTGCGGGATATACATACATATAGAGAGAGCTGCTGCTGCTGCTAGTAAGTAGGTAGAGTAGGCACTACTACTACATAGGCAGGCACGATAATGGAAGCATGAAGATGGTACATATGCTACTCCTACTTTACTACTTCAGCCTTTCCTGCTCCTTTCTCTGATACGCCCGGCTGTGCGTGCCGCTCGTTCGTGCGTTCGTTCATTGGTGTGTTTTTGGGTGTGGGCGTGTGTGGGTTGGGGTTGGCGGGGTGCGAGACAAGACAAGACAAGGCGGCGGGCATGTGAGGACCTATGTGAGAGAGAGAGAGAGTGTGTGTGTGTGATGTGGATGTGCTTGTTCTTCCCTCCTTCCTTCCTTTCTTCCTTCCTTCCTTCTTTCCAGCATCCTGAAACATGTGCGTGCACAAGCCATGGTGATTGGCGCGCTGGCTTGCTACAGAGCTAGGTACACTGATAACGAACTACCTACGTAGCTACCTAGCACGCACGCTTATCGCCCGTCAGGCCGTGTATCTACATATCTGGCCGTTTGTCCGTCCGTCCGTCCATCCATCTGTCCGTCCAGGCCGCTAGAGCTGGGATGGATGGGATGGGATGGGTGGACGTGCGGACAGACGGATGGATGGATGGATAAGAAACTGTGTGTGTGTGTGGAGTGGCTTGTTCAGTCAGGGCTTGGGAGAGATCTATCTGTTTTCTATGGGTGCTTGGCTTGCTTATTTGCTGGATTGATTGATTGACAGATAGACAGATATGTAGATAGATAGGCCGATACCGATACTTGATACTTGATACGCCGCGCTGATAGGGTAGGTACGCTAGCCACGGCTCTACCTATGCTATGCTATGCTCGATCGAAGGAACGCACACGCACACGCTGCGCCTCCTACGCCGCGTCGCCATGGACCACCGCGATAGGTAACTACATACGCCTCGTGGTTGGCTTGGGTGTGGGTGTGGGTGTGGGCGTGGGCGTGGGCGTTGGGGTTGGGGGCCGTGTGGGTGCGCGCGTGTTGTGTGTTGTGTGTGGTGTGGTGTGTGGGCGGGGGTTCAGCTCAGCTGCGTAGGTTACAGTGGATGCGTAGGTAGGTTGGGACGCGGGCGTTTTCGTCGTGCGTGCGTGCGCGCGGGGTGGGCGCGGGGTACAGTACAGTACGCGTGAACAGTGTTTGAGGGACGGGACAAGGTGGGTGTGGTGTGTAGAGTCTATGTATGTATGTATGTATGTATGTACGTATGTATGTATGTAGGCATGCGCGTGTGCGAACTCGTCATCTGCGCCCTGTCTTTGTCTGTCTGTGTCTGCCTGTCCCTGTGTCTGTTCTGTCCGGCGCGGGCGAGGGCTTGGTGCTGCGCTGCGGTGCTCACTGCGGGGATAAGAGCGGGATGGCCGGCGTGGCGGCGGGGAAGGGGCCTGGGGCCGCGGGCGGAGGACGGAGGACGGACGGGTAGGTACCTAGGTACGGTACGTAGCCCATGGTACATACTATTGTACCGTACCATCCAGCCTCAGCAGCGGGTGTTTGGCGTCGCCGTCTCTGTCTCTCTCGAGAGGACCGCGCGCTGGTGGTAGCAGTGTAGGAAGGTAGGTGGCATAGAGGAGGTGGAGGCCAGCCTGCCAGCAGCCTCAAATCACACACATACACGCACGCGCGCGCGCATCCACATCCTCCACATTCACAGCCACTGCGCGCTCCGCCTTGCCACGACAACGACGACGGACGACGGACGACAGACAACGACGACGAGTGATGGCGGGCGCCGGTCACGACAACGACACCACCATTACCACTACCACCACCACTGCTAACCGTCGCCATAGTCGCCGCCACCATCACTGTCGCTGCTCACCGCCTGTTCACAGCCCCGGACGTACGCGCACCCCGCCTACACCGGCAGCTAACAATGAATGGTGGAGGACTCAGAGAGGCAGCACGTAGTAGTGGTGGGCTGACAGAATCGCCTTGACTGCTGAGTCCGCACACGACCCGTCGTCCACCCACACACACAACACAGCCAACAACGCGCATGGCATGCATGCATGCAATGCAAGCCCGCTCACTCACTCACTCACAGTCTCAGCCCGCTTATCTGCAAGGCCGGCAGCGCGCCATCCCTCGCGATTCGCACTTGCGCCGGGATCATCGTATCTGCACGCGGGAACAGGACGGGGTCCCCGGACCCGGGGGGGCTGCTCCTTGCTGCGCTGCTTACTTGGCGTCAAGGCGTACATATTGTAGCCCCCGGGGGTGATTATTGGGGAGAACCAGATGGGCCTACCTAGGTAGGTGGGTAGGGAGAGAGTGGGATGGAGTGGAGTGGAGTGCGGTGGAGTGCATGGGGTGATTGAATGAGGAGAGGAAGGAGAGGTGGACAGAGAGAGGCTCCATTACACGCACGCCTCTTCCTGCTCCTGCTCCTGCTCCTACTCCTCGTTGCTCCTCTCTTCTTGCTCCTTCGCCCTCTTCCGCCAGGGTCTCGTTTTCCTGCAGGCGGCGGATTTGCGCTCGCGAATTCACGAGCGCGAGGGAGCGGTGCGCGCGGCTTGTCCTCTGCGCGCGCGCGGGCTCTGCGGGGCGGTGGGCAGGTCTACACAGATGGTGGAGATTGGAGAGGAGGAGGAGGCGCGAGTGGTGTGGTGTGTGGTTGCAACGACAATTTTTCTCTGGCTGCTGCGGCGGATTGACCGGATGGGATGGGAAGGGATGATGATGATGATGATGATGCATGGGGCGTTTGCGCCTTTGCTCGATGGCACGTCAATGGCCGCGCGCTGCCGTTTGCCGTTCCTCGCACCGTCGTAGTCGTGAGAGAAGTTGTGGGCCCCCACATATACTCACACCGGAGGTGGAGTCAATCCAATACTATGGTGACTATTTTCTCTGCTTAGACCCGCCGATCGCGCTTGTGCTTGGTGGGGAGCTTTGCGGATTTTCTCTCGACACCTCGCTCCAATCTCCGCCTTACGATGCATACGGCGCAGCTGCTCCGCCCCTTCAGGGAGAGATACCGGCTGATGGTACCTGGCCGTCCCGCGATAGCGATATCCCTTCCCCCCCAATACTATGCTATGCTAGGTAGGTATTGTAGAATACACCTTCCAATCTACCCCAAGCGGGAAGGCGCGCCCGTGTGCCCACGGAAGAACTCGTGGACAGCTCGCCCATTGAGTTTTTCTTTTTGCGGCTGTATGCACCGGGACGCACGCCCGCCGTCTCCGCTGTGGGGAAGCGTGCCAATGGGTACGGGGGGAGGGGAAGGGCTGGCTGGCTGGCTGCCACAACCATCGCAGCATTGGCTTTCAAACGGGCAGGTCTGTACCCGTACAGCAAGCAGTACACATCACATGCAGTAGGTGTTGCAGGCGCCCTGCCGGAACGCAAGCCAGCGTTCTAGACCACCCTCCTCTGTCTCTCTCTCTCTCTATCTCTCCTCCATCCATGATCCCTTCATCCCTCCCACAATCTGGCCCTCCGAGGCGCCGCCACTCAAAACCCCTATCGCAACCCAACGCCCTCGCCCGCCCCATCCCCCCAGAGGCGCCTTTTTTTTTTTCTTTTTTTTTTTTTTTTTTTTTTTTTTTTTCTTTTGCAGTTTCGCCGGTTTCGGGGAAATTGGCCCAGGTAGGCCAACGAGCCGGTGGCGCGCCAGCGCGGGCCTCATCGGCAGCCGTGATTGCGTGACAGCGAGGCTCAGGCCCGGCGTCGGGGGGGCAAGGCGTTAGTTTAGGGTAGCTAGCTACGAAGGCGTTGCGTTGCGGTGCGTTGCGAGGCCGGAGGAACCGTGTGTGGGTGTTAGAGAGTGTGTGTGTTGAGCGCGAGCCGCGCCTGGGGACGCGCCCTTCCACTTTCCCTAGGGCCGTCAATGTCGCTGCTCCTTCGGAGCTCGCTCCACCATCTCAAACCACCACTTTCACCACCGCGTCCTTTTCGTCCAACCATCGACACCTGCCTACCTAGTGCAGCGCAGCGCGCATCGTGCGGAGCGTGGGGCGTGGAGAGCGCGGTTCGTGTGGGGCGTGGCTCTTGCCTTGCCCTCCTTCTGCGGGGGGCCTGATGAAAGCTGTCTGTCGCCGTTGGTGCTGATGATGATGAGACAGCGTGCACGCGTACGTGCGTGCGACGAAACGGCTGAGGCTGGAGGGCTGGAGCTGCCCAGGCAAGGCCAAGCAGGCCAAGAGCCAGATCTCTCAGGTCTTCTTCGACGCCGCTTGCCGCCGTGCCGCGACTTGCCAGATCGGGCGCCGGGCCGCGCCTGGCCAGCATGCCATCAGGGTGCCTTTCAACAATTTTCCTGTGGCCTGCCTTGCGGGTTGCCGCCTTGCCTGCCTGGGTCGCGATCGCTGTGGGTGTCAGTGTCGCGCTCGTGTCTCAGCAGTCATCGTGCTTGAACCGCCTTCTCCTTTGGTCGTGCATCGTGCACTTTTTTATTTTTTATTTTTTTTCTCTCTCATAAAATTTCTTTCAGACAATCTCTCCCCAGTCCCCTCATCGCTGTTCATCTTCCCCACATATCGCGTCGCCTTACGCACCCTCGGGTCGCCTCGCGGTCGCGTCGGGGTGGAGAGAGGGTCTGGTGAGAGTGGTGAGGTGGCGGCGCTCCCCAAGCTCCCCTCACCACCAGCCTCACCGTCTGATGAGGCTCTCTGCGCGACGGTGGAGATGAAGAACTGTGTGCCATTGTACGCGTGCTTCTTGCTACCCATAGCCCCCACACACACGCACCCAAGAGAAGGCCCTTTTTGCGTGTCTAGTTTTTCCTTTGCGCTGGCCGGCCTCTCTCGGATCACGTCTTCCTATTTGAAATGTTGCAGCTGGGTTTGACGAGCTAAGCGTGGGACGCGTGTCTCGCTGCCTGCTGGTGAGGTCAATGGCCAAGCCACCTGTCTCAGCACACGTCGTCAGTACCCGGAGCAGAGGATTACGTATGCAAAAAAAAAACGCGGGCGGGCGCGCGGGATGACGGCATTTGGCTACCGGCCGGGGCGCGTAACATCCCCCAGACGGAGACGGGAGCGGCGAACCCGTCACCCCATCTTTCTCCGGCCTGGCAGGATTTGCACCAGGGCAGCGCCCTCGGCTCGTTCCAGCCCAGCCAAGCGCGCGGGCAGGCTAGGACGAAGCGATCGAAGCTTCTGTGGAAGAAAAGGGCGGCGCGCGCGTCGGCTTACCTACCGCGTTTTTTGCTGCTTGCGCGCGTTGGGGGGTTGTGGGTGAGTAATTCAGGCTAAATGCCCATGCTGGCACGGTGCAGCCAATGGCGCAATTACCCGCCCATTTACCCAGCGATTCTCCCCCCAAGGCCAAGGTCGGGGAAAATAGAAATTTTTTTATTAAAAACGCCATCGAGGCTGGAGCGCTGCTGCCCGCCCGCAGGCAAAATTAACTTGGGCCCCCGCGGGTCTGCCCGGTGTGCCTCGACTCCCGTACGTCAAGCTCTGCCCCGGTTAGGCAGTTTCTGGGGTAGACGGAGGCAAGGCGCTCCGCCGGCCGTGGTAGGTTTGCTGGCGTCAGTAGGTAGGTATCCAGCCACGGGTTTCGTCGCGCCTTCTTTCATCATCACCATCAGCAGCATCATCATCACCAAACCCGTCGTCGTCGTCATCGTCGTCCCTCTCTCTCTCTCCCCTGAAACGTCACCACTCGAGCACAGAAACCACTGATGATGCGGCGCTTGCGGTGTGAGAAAAAAAAAGTGACATCTACCCGTTCCGCCGCCATGGCGCACGGAGGCCGTGCGTCTTTTTTCTATTTTCTATTTCGCCGTAGGTTGCGTTCCTGAGATCGCATCGCGTTCTCGAAAGAAAACATTTCCCCGAATCTCGATTCGTCGGCTGCGCATCACCGCCGCCACACGGCCGACGTCATCAGGATCGCCGCAGAAGCGCTGGTGTGGGTGGCCAGTGCCATCACTACCTATTGTACTCTACCTATCTATCTCCGTGCCGGCCTCCAAAAGCGACAGCAGCACGAGTCTGGCTTGCTAGTCCCCTTCGTCTCTTGCAGCGTTTAGAGTAGGTCCCGCTGAGAAGGAAGATAGGAAGAATTAATCCGGTCGAGCCTAGAGTAGCCATACGAGTAGGAGTTCCTGCCTTGGTACCATAGCGTGGCGTGGGCGTCTCTCCCCCCACCCCCACCCCACACCCCATCCCATCCCATTCCCCGCCACTAGCCGCGCCGAGTCATGGTGCTGCGCCTGGGTGGGTGTGAAATCAGAAGAGACGTATGTACGTACGTCAGAGCTGGGGCCTGGCCTTTGCTTGCTTGCTTGCGCGCTCGCCAGGCCAAGCAAGCAAGGCAAGGCAGAGCAGGGAAGCACTGGTATCGGCACTGGCACTGGCACTGGCACTGCTGGGGGCGATCAGGCTTCTTCCCCTTCCAGCTTCCTTCCTTCGGGGAGCGTGGAGCACCTCTCCCCTCTCCCCCCGCAGGCGCCGCAAGCCGTGGCCGATCCGGTCCCCGGCCGCGCAGAGCAGAGCAGAGCAGAGCAGAGCAGAGCAGAGCAAAGCTCGGAGACGATCATCATCCTTGATCATATCATGGTTGTGGGCGTTGATACGCGGGCAGGCCTGGCGGTTGGTGGGGAGCGGTGGCGGCGCGTGGCTGGCTGGCTGGCTTGCTTGCTTACCGATGAAGCTGCTGGTGAAGGCTACGAGTACTGCCCTGCTGCAGCTTCACCGCTATCGTGTCGTCGCAGCCGAGAGCCGCCAACGCCCACGATACTCCGTAGCGGCAGGTGGTTGGTGGTTGGAGGTTGGGCGCAGCGAATCTCGCTTCTGCACCTCCCGATGATCTTCGATGTCTTCTAGGTGCTCTTACGCGTCCCTGCTTCCTGGCCATTGCCGCCTGCCCTCTAGGGCCTTCTCCACGAGGCCAGGTTCGTATACTCTATCTTTGTCAGCGGCTGCCTTGCATCATCGCGCAGCGCGGGGGGGCGGAGGGGCGGGGGCTGCCTCCGTGTGGTGTCTATGGATGGATGGATGGATCATTGGATGCGCGGGTGGTGTGGCTGTGCGCGCGCTCCCAGACTGCCTGGCACTGTTGCTCTGCTCTACGAGTACCCTGCGCGATTGGCCGGGGTACATACACACGCCCACATGTGGAGGTGGAGTGGAGCAGGATAGGCATCGCCGGCCAGGCCCAGAGCGCCAGCGCCACTCTCCCGCCGCCTGCTCCACTTCACTCCACTCCAGTCGGTATGCCATCCAAGCATCCCATCCATGACAGGATCACGGTGGGCATTGGGCCGGTGCGCGCGGAGCAGTCGACTCTTCTGCAGGTTGTTGTTGGCTGTAAGTGATGGGCGCATTACGAGCTATGACGACTGCGGTGGAGCACGCACTGTGGGGGAGCGAGGATCTACTCCAGATGGGGGGTGGAGGTGAAGATGCGCCTTCTTCCCCACACCTACTGGAGGCGCATTTCATCATTGGCATCATCATCGGCATCATCATCGCTGCCCGCCACCGCTATTGTATCATCATCGCTGTTGTGCAGAAAGCAGGGAAGAGACGTGCGCGCTTGCGTGCTTGGGTGCTTGATTGCTGCGCTGATGCTAGCGGTGGCGGTGCTGCTGCTGCTGCTGGTGCACTACTGACAACTGACACAGCACCAACAGCTGCCCGCCGCATGATGCCATTGCCGCCGTCGCTGACACACGCAGTACTCTAGATGAGAATGATGCCAGAAGCCCGGTCGAAGACGTCTTTCCTAGCGCCCCCTCTCCTTCCCTCTTAGGTAGGGCACGCTAGTGCCAGACTCCCCCTACGGGAATAACGACTAGAGGGAGCAGTGGCGGCGGACCTGAGACCGAGCAAGCCACCTACATACTACTCTACTCTAGAGTAGTTGGTAGAGGACATAGTTGCTCCGGCGCCGTTCCTACGCTACCTATCGTGGCTGGACTAGAGTAGGTGGAGGAGGCGTGCACGAGTGTGCGCGCTTACGATAGTGATAGGAGCGGTCTTATCACGGGCGATTACCCCGCGACGCACCCCGCCTGTTAGGACGCTGCGATAAGCTAAGCGTTGGATGCCAGGATGTGTGTAGTGCGGACGTCGGCATTCCTTCGTGTGGAGATAGCTGGATGGTGTGGGCGGGCAGGTTACAGCTTACTCGTAAGGGCTGTCTTATCTTGTCTTGTTGTTGGCTTGCCTGAAACAGCTTCCTGTGTGCTGGTGCTTACATATGAGTACGAATGGTTATGGTGGTGGTGGTGGTGGTGTGCGGTACCGAGCGGTGCGGGGGATGGGCGGTGGCGCTGTGGGGTCCCCGCATTTCGGTGCGCGCGCTTTGCCCTACCCTTACCTACCTACAGTAACCCTACATGCCGTGGGTTGGTGCGGGGGATCGGTGCGACGTACGGCCTTGTGCTCTGTGCTGTGATGTGGGAGATCGAGAGGCGCGAGGGAGGGTGTGCTTGTGTGTAGGTGTAGGGGTGGGTGTATGCACGTATTGCGTATCGTGTGCGCGTATGGGTGTGCGGCCTTATCGCAGCAGAAAGAGTAAACGAGGCGTCATGTGCGGCCGCAGCTTGATTGCTACCTATCTCCCTACTCCCACCCACCTCGCACGTACCTACGTCTCTGTCTAAGACGGGGGGCGGGGGGCGTCGCACACGCGCGCGCGCTTGGTATGTCGTATGAGTGCCTCGTGGTGAAGACAGGCAGGCAGCTAAGTGTGTGCTATCTGACCAAAGGGAGGGCAGAGATAACGGGGGCGTGGGGGACAAAGAAAGGAGAAAGGAAGGAGAGTAGAAGGAATGAAGGGCCGCGCATCCGCGTCCTGCTGCGAGACAAACAGACGCGCCAGCCGCCTGCCCTGCCGCCGCTGCGAATGTGACCGGCGGACACCCTCTCATTCTCTCACGCCCGCCAGATCGCACGCCGCACATACAGTGCGTAAGGCTTGGCGGGGGGGGGTGGATTTGGCTTTTTTCCTTTTCGTCGACTGCCCGATCGGGTCGTCGCTATCCATGCGAACTCTATGCCCTTTGCACATCCGCGTCGCGCGTCCCAACTGGTACGCCCGCGTGCCGGAAAAGCAGGCAGACAGCAAGCAAGCAGGCAAGCGTCACATGCACAGTGCGTTATCGTGGGCCACACGAGTTAGGAAGGAAGGTCGTGGTACATACGGTACATACATACACGGGGATGACTGAGGCTGACGGACTCGGGCTTTCGTGAGTCAGAGCTTGCCGATGATGCGGTGATGTCCTGGATGGGGAAGGATGGAATGGAGGCTGCGGGGAGGGGGTCCGGTGTCGGCTGTCGTCGGCTGTCTTGGTTGTGGTGTTGCTGCTGCTGCTGCTGCTGCTGCTGCTGCTGCTGCGGAGAACACACGTGTACGTGTACGTGCTGCGATCACTGCGGTCACTGCCGCGAAGAGAGATGCTGCCCGGGAGATGAAACGGGGGATGCGGGTGTTGCGGATGGTGCGGCGGAGGAGGGGAGAGGAGAGGTGCTGACGATGATTGCCTCTTGGGTCGTCCCAATAGATGCGCGTTTCCTTTTTTT